ACTGCTAGAATCTATCCGTCGCGAATAAGTTTGTCTTCTTGCTCATTTAATTATAATATCGAAGTATCAATATATTTAAATTAATCGCGATTAGATAAACTAAGTACGAAGCAATGCATGTAAGACATTTATTACATGCTTTTCTGGACGAAAACGAGTAAATTATTGCTCGATTTCACCACTACTAACCACGAACAAAACACGTAATAAAAAACAAAGTGCATTAATTAATTGCAGTATTAATTAAGTGAATTTAACCGATGAGACAAGAAAACCTATCCTGAACTAATATAAAATATGCAATAYAATACAATACAATACAATATACAATTTTTTCATGAGTAATTTCAAAAGAGGAATTACTCATGTGCTCGTCAAAAATTTATTTAATTAATTACAACCAGTAACTCGTGCCGATTTGGACCTTTCATCCTCGACATGATTAAGCACCGGAGGAACTTTAAATTTTTGACTCACTGCATAAGAAGTTCTACGATAGCTCCAAAACACTCCTACTTTGCAGCAAATTTTGTAGTCTGACGATTGGAGAATGCCTCGATTTGGTATCGAAGAAGATCCAACGAAGATCCATCGAAGATCCATCGAAGATCCATCGAAGGTCCATCGAAGATCCATCGAAGATCCATCGAAGGTCCATCGAAGATCCATCGAAGATCCATCGGAGGTCCATCGAAGATCCATCGAAGATCCATCGAAGAATTCATCCCACATCTTTGAAAAGTAAGGAAATCCATCTTCTTATCTGTAACATAAAATAGAACATAACGATAAGTTATCTGCAATATAATCCAACATCATATCAAACAAAAACGAACAAAATGTAAATAAAAATGGATACTTACAATGCATTCCAATGGGATGAAACTCAATTACACCATGGTGATGCATCTCGCGTGAATCTAAAAACGCGGTATAAACGAAAATAAGAAACTATAGATGAGTTTCTTATCGCGAAACCAAAATTTTATTATACGGCGAACAACACTGATTCTAGTTCGCGTATGATTTTAATTTATTATGCGCCTGATCACTGACTCTACAACTGCTTCCAAAGACTGCTTTGCACACAGTCAATGCAAGTATAAAAATTTTCATCGATGTACTGACTCTAATACGCGACCAGTTTGTGCGACTGTTTAAAGATAAAAATACAACATTTGTCGAACAAAGTCTACTGCAATTACTGCTTTGATCGCAGTCAATTTAATATGAAAAATATTTAATACAATCGCACGATTTTTTTTTTCTTTAATTTTAATTTTTTTTATACAGTAAAACGAACGAATTACAATTAACGAACGAACGTGCTTCTATAATCCGTGATTTTAATTATATTTAAACGATATAACAACACTCCCGTATATTGCTTCGCGCACATTTGCAATAATCATCTGAAACAGAAGAAAAAACAGAACTATTAATATCGCTTTTATAACAATCAAATATTAATAATTGAGAAAATGTTTAATAGAAAATAATATTTACTTCGAGTCTTCATTGATGAATGCACGATGGATCTCCTGCCCTTAGGATGACGATGGGCGCACGTTTAAAAAAAGAAACTTACGGAATTTCTTCACCAAGCTAACGAAACTGTCACATACGACGATTAACACTGATTCTACTTTCCGACTTTTTTATATATTATTTTAATGATGCAACACACGAGTATTTCATTACCTACGCGCTCGAATGCAATGATGTTCTGAAACAGAAAAAGAATAAGAACAATAAATGTCATCGTCGTAATAAAAAACCATTGAAGTTATTATAGAAATTTTTGATAGAAAAATATACTTACTTTTAATCTTCATTGATGACTGCAGGATGGGTGTCCTACCCTTAGGATGACGACGAATAAAATAAAATAAAATAAAAAATCTGTCAAGCTGAAACATACTAAAGATTATATTATAGTACAATATTCCCTGTAAATCATTCCTGAAAGCATTTCACACACTTTAAAAAATATTCTATCATAAAGAATCAATATAAATTCAAGCAATATTAATTA